CTTAATGTTAAGTGCATGCCCGGCACCATGACAAAAATCACTGGCCATTTCGTATTTTTGTCCATTTGCATAAATTAGGGTTCCATTAGTCAGTTTAAATTCATTATACAGATGCAAAATAGCACAACTCTGTGGTAGAATGAGAAATAAATTGTGAAAATGCATGCTTTAAACTCGTAATTAAACAGTAATATCATTACGAAGGGCTTTGTATAATTTCAGCTAATCTAGCCGAAAAGACGTTAACCAAAGGAACATTCTAAATTGCCATAAAACAATTGTTAAATACATTTGTTTTGCCATTATTTAAAAACTTCTAAAGATCTATAAATTAATGTGACTTTGGGTTGAATGCATTTTTCCAACAGAATATTGTCTTTTCTTTTCAAAATAGAAATAATTGTCAATGCACTGTGGTTGTTTCTGGAAGAATAATATGATATAAACATACTGAGTTATGTATATTCGTAATTTTTTAAATGTAATAAAACGTTATTTACCAATTTATTCAAAAAAAATCAAATTTGACGCAAAACGTAAAAAAATTTACATAAAAAATGAACAACAAATGCAAGAATTCAAACTGCTTAATGTACTGTACCAAATTACTAATAAATAAAACAATGAAAAACCTCCTCAAAAGAAGGAAAATCCTTTTTAGGAGAAAAAATTCCTAGGAGGATCAACTTACATTTTGAAAGATTACGATTCTATATATTTTTTAATTAAAAACACAGCACAACCTGTAGTCAAAAATAATGATTGATTGCGGAAGAATACTGACGGTAGCACTCATGAGAAACGATGGAAACCGTGTTGACTAAAAACACACCTTCCTACCAAAAGAAGGCATAGGCAAGCAACCTACAGTTTCGCAGATATTTCCTGTAACTCTGCATGAAGTAATGGTATGAAGAAAATAGATGAAATGCTAGTACTAATGATTATATCCACAATAAACCACTAATTATCATTACGGCATTGTTGCTAAATTATTGATTTCTTTTTTGGGAATTTCTAAGTATTTCATCATTTTTATTTTTTGACATTTCTGCAACATCTCCAAATGCATGGCGCTAATTTTAAGTCACTACCGGCATACGTTGCAAGTAAAAAAATTAATTTAAACTCAAAAACTAAACTAGGTGTAGTATAAAATAGTGCGCTTAACTCTTTCAGAAATGCCTAAATCTGAGAGAAAACCGCTTCAACCTGCTAAGTTAAAAATAACTTAGTAAAGTTCATTAAACACTGAACCGTACTTTCGGCTTGGAGACTTCAAGTAGCTACTTTTAATTTTTGCGAAATGCGTTTCAAACATTTGCAAGCAATGAGGCGTTGCAACTGTTTTTATTTACTCTTTCGGTGTATTTCGATTTATTCGGGAAACTTAATCCTGTATCTGCATATGTACTGAGCCTTACGAAATCCAGCGTTGAGTTACCTCTACATCCGCTCCTACGTCTATAAAATATATTGCTCAAATAGATCTCTTATGATATCCAGGCAGGAGCAGCGGGGTGACTGATGCCAAACCCAATATAATTTCGTGATAACGTCAATTTCGGACTAACAAATGTTTAGTCATTCCATCGTGGACCCCCGTAACGATTGTGATTTGTTTTCCTTTGGGGATGGGCTAATCAAATTAACTTAATTTGTGCGCCTAGTAAGTTGCAGCTTTCGGTAAAAGAGGTGACTCGAATGAACACTAATCTATTAAATATTACCAGTTTAACTTCATAAACGTCAATATATTCGATTGTTAAATAAAATCCATCAACATGTTTGGAAAACAAAAGTCCGGTCACCAAATTGTGTCCCTTGTAAAACATGGGTGTTTGAATAGAATAGAGGCAAATGTTTGTATGGATTTAACAATTATTTTGCAGTTTAACAAGAGCATTTTAATTTTATACAGCGAAAACAGAAATACTCTGAACATATTTGAAATAAATCGTAGGCATCGTAAATTTAATTAAAGCAATGTTTGCAGAGCGAATACTCGAATCGATATATGATTAAGTAAAAAAGTATATAAATTGAAATTTACGCCTTTACTAATACCACCGTTCAAAACGATTGAGAAATTATTGTTCCTTTGTTTCCTCTGAGTTGTGTAAACCCAATCTAATTAGTATCATAAGAAAATATTCAAAGAGATACAACATTTACGGGACATGGAAAAAACCAACATTTAAATTGCTAAATAATTTTACTGAAGCTATAAGAATATTAATTTCTCTCTCTCCTGTCCGTTTACTCCCGGGAGAGTATGGTGACATCATGTCTCAATTCCTCAGATCGTGGTTCTCCATCCTCTTGAGCTGCAAAAGAAGCTTTCTGCAAACCGTGTGCAATTATTTTTCCCTATATAATAAGTTTTTCCATCCAATTCGTGCTCTTGAAATGTGTTAAATATACCGTATTACACGTTAGTACGATGTTCTGTGTATGAGATTCGCAGGATTCTTATGTAGGCCCACATTTCTAAAGCGTCTCTCATCCTTCGATTGGCCATTTTCAAAGTCCAGGTCTCAGAGGCATACGAGGCAATAGGAAGGATCAAGGAGTTTAACAAATTCAGTTTGTTGCGTTGAGATATGGCAGAGAGTTTCCATCCTCGAGTTAGTTTTATTGTTGAGTTACGTGCTATGGTCAGTCTGCGTTCGATTTCTTCGTCACAACAGTCCTTGTTTGTAATAGGTGATTGAAAACCTTACAGTCTTGTTATCATAATTTGCGTCTTCTTTCTGTTCAACGCAAAACCTTGTTCTCTGCTGAGCCTGTCCAACTATATCATGATTTCCGTGACCTGCGTATCTAAGGTTACTAATTCTTTTTCTTCCTATGGTTAAACCCCCTTGATGAAGACGAGACGCCTGAGATTGAAGAGCGTCGGTGACACACAAGGCGGTATTTCTTGTCTTACACCGCACTTTGAGCTAAACGACTTAGAAAGCGTTTTATTGACTTCCACCTTCCCGCAGCCGCGGCCTTAAAGGTTTTTAAGCAAGATAATCATATGTTTTGGCATTCCAACGTTTTCGAAGATAGCCGCAGTTTCTCCCACTTTACTCAGTCAAATGCATGCCGCAGTCGACAAAGCACAAGTAAGTTTTTACATTAAATTCATATGCTTTTTCTATTATTTATCTTCCTTTCAGGAGACAAATCCTTCCTTTTCAAGGTTGTTCCCTTGTTCCCTTTCCGGGCATGAACCCTGTCTGTTCGTCGGGAGTCTGTGGAAGTGGAAAAGGTTTTAAACCCTTGTTTATGACATAAAGTAGAATTTTACTTGCATGTGACATAAGCGTTATTGTTCTCTAGTTACTGCGGCCTGTAAAAGAGCCTTACTTGTGTAACGGCAGGTACACCGATTCACGCCATTCTTTTGGCCATACCCCAGTTTGCCAAATTTTAACACACACTTTGTGGATTGCATCAACACCACACTCGTCCACATTTTATTGTTTCAGCGGATATGCCATAATTGCCAGGTTATTTGTTGTTTTTTAGGTTTATGGCTTTTTCTACTTCAGCTTTGAAGATTGGGGGATTTTCTTCTACCTCATCCATTTTTGGTAACTCATGGTCTTCGGCTTTATGAGTAGAAACAATTTTTCGCATTGTCTCTATAGCTCTGATGTGTTGTTGGCATCTGTTATTGTCTCCCCGTTATCATTTTTAACTATTTGTCTTTGCGGCTTAAATTCTCAAGACAAATATTTTACTGTATCCTATAGTTCGTCGGATTTATTTGTTTTTTTGCATGTTCTTCACGTTCTTGGCATACTCTTGCGATGTGCTGGTTTTTGTCGTTTTTACAGGATTTTTGAACTTCTTTGTCAAGAGCCCATTAATTCTCCGGGGTAATAGTTCTGGACAGGCTCAGCTTTCTCTGGCCATGTGTTAAGCAGATTGTTCCTTCCGTCATCCAGTGTTTTTTCCTTTATCGGTTTTGGATTTGTGGTTTTGCTGCCACAAGACACAATCCACTGTTTTGAGCGCTTCCCATGTTTGATCTGAGTATCCTTCAATCAGCGAAGGACCGGAAGTTCGTATCGTTTCTTCGACTAGTCTTAACAAGAGCCAGATCCATTAGTTTTATAGTAAGCCCGATGGTGATGTCCATGTTTCGATGGTGACGTCCCACAGACATCGAGAATGGTGTTTGAATGTTGTGTTTGATATGGTCATATTATTATTTGTGCAGAACTAGATAAGTCTTTCACCGCGATTATTTCTCTCGCCCAATCCACATTTCTCAACAACATTTGTTATGTGGGCATCGCATTGAAATCACCCGTTACAATTAGGAGGTCCTCTTGCGGAATGTTCAAAATAACTCTTTCCAGTTTTTTGTATTCAACTTCCACTTCGTCATCTAAGTAATCATTTATTTGGTACATATATATGTACCTAGATAATATGAAGTTTAACTGGTTTGGACTGAAATTATATTCTAATTAATCTATCGCTGATGGCCTCTTAGTTTTCTACATATTTGGTGTACTTCTTGTTGACCAAAAATGCGATTTCATTTGGAAATAGAGAAAATCCAGAAATTGAGGGGCATATGGATTTCAAGGAGAATCAATTTATCACCGTACGAAACAATGAAGAAACTCCAATCAATTTTGTTAAAGAGATTTGTATTTTTTATTATTTAAGATTTTGTAATTTAAGATTTTTATGTAAGTAATGTGGATTTAGACCGTTCTTAGTATTTTTAATACATTCACCTGAATTGAGGTAAATCAAACATAATTATACAGTGGAGACGCGTTTCTAGACCTGCCACTAGATTACATGCCACCCAGATTAACTGCACTTTACTTCTTAAAAGTGTTGAAAGTGAGATCTCAAACTTAAAGATATTTTGTGCAAGGTTCATGAAACTCAAAAATATTGAAGATTTGATTAATAGAGTTACAATCGAAACAAAACAAACTTTTTAATAAAACAGCTAATATTTACTACAACAAATCAAAGCCGGGAGTTTCATATGCATTTACCTACAGTAACAATCGTAAATAAAATTATTTGAAATTTATTCAATAAATCAAATTAGCTGGCATATATAGCGTGGCGACCGCCTCTCCTGTTTCAAACGCTATTATATTATTCCCGAATTTCTGGCGGTTTTCATTCATTTGTTATATCTTTGCAATTCTGGAATAAAATGGTTAATTTTATCATAAATCGTGTTTTTAGGTGAAAGGCTGACAGTTCGAATAAATAAAGCTATATGGCACGCATTTGGGTAATTAGGGAACAAACATTGAGCGAAATGCTATTTGAAATTTTATTTAATTAAAATCGGTTGATTGTGATGACACTAGATAAATATAATTTATAAATTTAATCAGCAGCAATATTGTGTATAACAGCAGTACTATTTAAAAAGTGCATTTTACGCTCAGAATAATTAATCAACTATTTATAAAAATATAAACTGGTACGATAAAAGATCTCAGCTAACTGACAATCAAATCATAGGGTTTTCAAACAAACAAGCAAAAGACATACACAGATTTCATCAGAGAACGAAAAACAACACTAGTATGTAGCCGAAACCAGGGGTTACAAATACGATTCCTGACTAAAGAAGGAATAATTTTTAACTTTAACAAATTTGACACCTGTGATGCCTCCAGATATTAAATCTAATGAGGCTAAATTAAATATAAATGCTCTTTATTTACATAATAATTGAATTAGTTTTTAAGAACAGAGAAAACTTCACTGCCTCCTGTAATAATTCTTCAAAATTTTTATTAACTTCGAATTAAATTTCCAGAACACTACCTTGATGTACCGAATTTAAGATATATCTTCCACATTTTCATATAAAGCTTATTGGTTTGAATACAAATATATGCTAATTCGAGTCGATCTTCGAAACACACTAAATATTTTCTGATTTAGTGACTGAAGCATCGTTTACTTGAGCGAAAAAAATCGAATCGTAAGAATTAAAAGATAAATTTGAATGTTTTATTCCAAGATCACCGATTAATTTTACCCGACATAAGTGGTTTTCTCACCCAATCCGTATACTAACTAACAACAATATTTTCGTTTGTTCAGTTTAGCATTGTTCAATCTCCCTGGCATTTGAGATAAAGAAGACTTTAGGGCTAAAATTCCTTTGAAAGATATTCAATCCATTAACAACTTGAAAGTTTCCTGTGCTTAACTTAAGTAGTATTATATTGCCCGTTTTAATGATACTCCCAAAGAACTTCTAGAAAACCCTATTCAAACTTTTTAGTTACGCTCGGTTTAGATAGGTTTAGTTTTTGGATCTTGTGCATTTTTTGAATGAGCGAGATTTGCATTCTCTATGAGGATATTTTACTTTGCCAATTATAATTGCCATTACTTAACTTTCCAAAATGTTGGTTCTAATTGTTTTAATGCGGCAATAAAAAGAACGAGAAAAGTAACAGAAAGTTGATCACAGCTATAAATTCAAACCGAATAAAACAGATATAGAATCTTTACTTTGAGCAAAATTAAATTATGGGTGTATAGTTTGCTAGTTGCTACTTTCATACTAGTCACTTCTCATTTTATGCTAAATTAGAATATAAAAAATTGGTATGTTGAAAGTAATTTTATAGACGACGTTAAGGCTGAAATAGAATTAAAATAAAATAAATTGTACCATTGTTCAGCATTTGAAGAATCGTTTTATATGAGCGTAGGATATTAAGTACCAAAAGAGCAGACTAAAGCGAAAGGATTTTACTTATGACTTACGTTACAATTATAAATTTAGTTTGGGTTAGTTTGGGTTTTTACGTTTTGTATGTTCTTGACACAACATTTCTACTATTCGTAACAAGCAAATTGTTTACTAATGTTATAATAACATTCATTTTCTATTGTTTAGTTATAAACTTGATTTTATTCTACTTTTTGTAGACCGCAGTGTTTTCTCAATTTTTCAAGATCCCTTCTAAAACAAGTTTAGGGCCTTGGAAAAAAATGAGGTCGATAAGTATATGGTTACTATTTTCGGACGGGTCTAAACTCATTTATTTACATTTCGAGTCCAGGTTAGGTGCAATGTTAGACAGGTTTGGGCAACGGAGAGCTGAAGCGATGGGCAGAAAGGTCATTAAGTTGATTGATGCGATAACATTAGCTCAGGCTTTATATTTTCGCAATTTCTATTACCGTAGAGCGAAATGCGGCTACCTGAAGTTGAGGATGCGAAAAGTTTTTTAATATTTTTCAGGCAGGTGCCACAATTTAATATTTTGATTACATCACATTAATCTAGTGTTTCTAGGTGAACTGAATTATATGTTTAAAAGTATTATATTTGTACATTAAATGCATCGTGGATTAGCCTCACAAATACTACTTTTTCCGGGAAGTATGATACAATAAATTGTAAGTATAAGATATAAATAGGAACATTTTTAGGTTGCTCCATTCATACGACTCGCATATCAAAACTTCATAATAAGCAAGACGACCGTATGAGACTAAAAATGTAAAACAAATCAGAACATTATTTAATTATTTAATCAAATATGATTTCTAAGTGAAATGAAATTGAACCATTGGCTGGCTATGCAATATTGATCAGAAGCTAAAGAACTTTCAGTACTATTTAAAATACATGAAATAACAGAAAGTTCCGTAATTAATACCTTAGAAGAAGAATATAATAATAAAATAACAAAATATATGTTGAGCTAACAAATAAAAGTAGCAACTAAAATATAAATCCGTGTTTCCAACAAAGAATACATTAATATGCCTAAATGCACAAACAAAAAGCGACTTTTTCAATATCTCTTTTAAAGTAACGGCCTTGTAATTCTTCAGACTTAAAAATTGGTAATATTTCTTCAGTTCTAATTGATACCTTTAAAACCTTTTTAGTTTTTCTGTATCTGTACGAGACAATTTTTTTCATCATTGACTGACATCTATTTTATATCTCTTAAAATCAGGAAGGTGTTAAATGATTTTGGTGTTGTTTGCTAAGTTCTTAATGCAGGCTGAACCTAAGAAATATATTTAATATTTTCAATTGATTTTAACTTTTAAGTGTAGAGTTATTTGAAGAGAACAGAAGCTGGTTCGACAATTGACTGAGAAAATGTTTTTGAATAAGGATAGTTATTGTCTAATAATAATAATTTCTGTAGTCTAGCAATAATAATTTCATGTTTTATCTGGTAAGATAAAGTGAAAGAGAACTGACTCAACAAATAAGTGACAGGCACGCTCAGCTTTAATTTTTTTTACTTCAATTTTTTTAATTTGTATTTCTCTTTGCTTACTATTCTAAATAGGTATTGTTGATCTGTCTTTTCTTTTCCTTTCACGTTGGTAACAATACGCTCACTTCATCTCAAACTTGATTTAAGTTTTATAGACTATAGGTTTGTATGGGGCAGTTTTCCTTGATAAACCCATTAAATTTTTAATTGATTTGACTTAAAAGCATGTGACTGTTAAATTAATTTCGTATTATTTCATTCCCCCGAGTCAAATACAACAAACGCAAACTAGTGTTAAGCATAGTTAAAAAGCCTAGTGAGTGAGATTACAAAATGTAAAAGCTTGTCGCTATCAAATGATATTGATCTATCTTTTATAAATGAAAAAGGGAAGCAAACACGTTGAGATATTTGAACGTATTTTGAAAAATCAAACAATCTCAGCTACAATTTTCAGCGTTATTCGTTTCCTGCAATATTCCGGAACCTAACCATTCACCAAGATTCATATCCGACAAAAAATGATCTAATTATACTTATTTGCCTGCGTGAAAGACGGCTCCCATTTATCTTGAACCATATCAAATATCGAAATCCGTCTATAAAAATTGCGCGACATCCATCTTGAGAGCGCGTTTTATCCTATTTGACTTTTTATAAAACTTGGGCTCTTTAGTTATCGGTTTTCCTTCGTAAAGAGGGTTGCCCTGAGCGTTGTTTGGCGTTTGAGAAATATCGATTTCGATTTGATTCTCAGTGTAATTTAAATCTGTCTACCATTTGTTAAAAATAAAACGGAATTCTCGATATTGAATGCGATAAATTAGTCCTTTACTAAAATATTCATTAAAAGAGATATTTTGTTGCGTTTGCTTATGTTTTTGATTATAGCAAGTATTTGATTAAGGTGAGCTCGGGTATTTCTAAAGTAACTCTAAAAGTCTCTGAATCCCTAAATCGTCACGTAGAAGAACTCAGGATGAAATAACAAGCCCAATATTTTTGAAGAAGAATTCCGTTCTAACTCTTATAAACCATTTCAGCTCTATCTATAAACTTTCCATAAGATCCATCCATTTAAACTGTATTTAAGCAAAACATAAATTTGAAAAGCGAGATCAACGATCACAATCCAAAAACTGATTTCGTGTGAAATCATTTTTCCAATCTGATGATTGATTCTAACAAGTAACATATGGTTGACTTACCCGAGTATTGTGAAGAAATGCCCATTCTTGTTGAAAGCGCTACTTTTGGTAGCTGCAAAAATAAATATAAATGGGTTTAAACTGGTTAATTACTTATTTGTTCTAATGAGAAATCAATGCCCTGATCTCTTTTTAAGGCTTTATTATTGAGTTAACACTCCTACAAACTAAAACTCACAGCTTAACATAAAAAGTTCAATTGTGCCTTCAATTCCATTCCGAGATTTGCGTTAGCAGAACACACGTTTCCTTAAGCAGGTGCGAACGAATATAAAGAGAAAAAAAATCAACAATAATATAAAAGGAAGATGGTTGATTTTATTAGGAATTCGGTCTGCGCAGTGGTGAAGAAAAATTAAACCTTTTCTTTTTCATCTAGGCCCTGAATTAGATGTACAGGGCCTTCAGCTCATCATTCATTTGCATTTAGTCTAGTCTGTCTCGTTATTTCTACAGAAAAACATGTTGATGGTTGAATAAATGTTTTGTGTAATCAAGGACCAATAAATTATCACCAAACTATGTGACTAAAAGATTAAATATTTCATCAAGCTGTACAAAACATGACAGAGTATTCTGGAGGGTTCCCAGCATTCTTATGGTCAAACAATTAGTACCGTGATGAAGGTGACAATACATTGCCGAAAGCTAGGTAACTAAAAAAGTTTTTCTTTTTCTTCACCACTGCCCAGACCGAATTCCCAAGAAAATCAACCGTCTTGCAATTATTCGATATCGGTCCAGAAACTGGAAATAATATAAAAAGCAAATTTCGAGAGCGAGAGTCTTATTTACGAAATATGTGTTAGTCAACATGGAATTAAATAAATATTTGAAAATGACCACATCTGAACATTTTCCTCTGAATTCAGCAAACAACTTATGTATGCTGAACGTAGGTACATAATGTAGAAGTCTGTTATTTTTTAAATGAATTGTTTTATGTTGTTATTCAGTATTGGACGTTCAATGTTGACGAAATTACTGCGAATTAATTAGAAAATTAAAACCAATTCACATTAGATTGCATATTTTTTGTATTTATTGTACCTCCAACGAACAATTGAGTTCCAAGTTGATCCATGCAATCTATTTAGTACAAAACTCCTATTTTTAAAGACCCAAATCGGGAATGTCAGGAAAACATATTGGTTATTAAATCYGCATCTTAATAAAGTCAAAGACGCAGTAGCTCTGTAAACTTTTTGTTATTATGTAAGCCTGGTACTAAAAGCCACGACTATAAAAATATTTCATTTAGARTATTATATCTCTAATTTKTATTACCCCTTCTAAGTCATTTTAGCTGATTGGCTTTCTGCAAGATAAAATCTTCAAGTGTTCATTCAAGTTGAGAAATGATAATTTCTTATTGGAAACCGCTTCGCCGAAACGGCCAAGAAAAAGCATTTCCACCCACTCATTTCCTGCAAATAAGAGTTTTTTTCAGTTTAAGTGTTCGATCTAAAGCGATGGAAGTTGTGGATATAAAACTTGAGTTGATATTGCCACATCAATCACCATAATTGCTTTCCGGGTTATCCTTTGAGGCCTGAATGGCGTTAGTTGAGTTGAAGGAAACCAACATTTAAATTTTGGTTTCAAGTGTATTTCTCGATTTGGGTTTCACAGAGTAACTGATACAACGTGATTCAGGCGAAGATAAATTGTGAGCAGGATATTTGCGAAATCATTATTATTGGAGTTGGAATAATTTGGCTTATAGCWGTTTGTATAAGTGAATACCAGGCAGGCATTATCAGGCGTAGAAGTAAATTCATTGATTCAAAATTAAATACATTTTAAAGTTTTGTTTTAATTTTTTAATGCGAGACATTGAGATCATTGACGTTATATTCCAAAGGAAAACTATTCAAAAATTAGAATTTTAGTTTGGAATTATTATTTGATTGTTGATCTATCATTAAGTAAGCTGCATTTTTGACGGGTAACTGCATGGTCATTTAACATTATATTTGTCGCGGCAGTTAAGAGATGTTTTATTTCAAGATTTGTTGCTCTAAGAATATTAAGTTAAGTGTTAGTTAAGCTAAGTATAGGGGCGCCACTGGAAAAAAATAATAAGCTTATAATGAAGTATTGAATATTTTAATTTTCGTAAAGATATCTATAAGTATCACAGCCTTTATAAAACAAATTTGCGGAAATTTCACCACACTGTGTCTCCAATGTAGCATTTGTTTCCAAATTAGCTCCAAGCATTACTCTCGTAAGCATAATAATTATAAGTTTATGGTTGAAGTTGAATAAAGCATAGATATTCAATAGATAACCACGACCTACGTAAGAAAATTAAGTTGAATGTAAAATTATGCTCTAACTAAAAGTAGTGATCAGGCGCATGGAATATTGTGCCTTTCTGAAACTAATTAAGTGCTGAATTGAAATACTGAAAATGAAAGCGAACTTTTAAATATAAGTCGAAAGTTAATAGCAACGTTCAAGTTGTGTTTTGCTTTCAGTTTAATTCGCAAAATGAGATCATCTGAACTGAGTTTAATTGTGAAAATTTTTAATTTGACTGCTCTTCTAGGCATCTAAGAGAACTGGAAATTAGACCGTTCCATACGTAATCAACGGTAACACGTGAGGAAAAGTAATTTGAAATGTTTTAGCACATAGTTACTTTTGTTGATTACCCAAGCAGCGAGTGGTTTTATGTTACCCCTGCAAATCTCTAAATAAAGATATTTCCTGGGGAAAGGTTTTTTTACAGATTCGAATATTCTCAGTCTTTTCAAGATAGAAGATAACCAACCCTAGCTAAATCACGATGCCAAGTAAATATTCAGTTCACGCGTTGGCATACATTTCTTGAATCCTTCTGATAAAATTCCTCAAGTCGTATCCTGAGCCCGCTGAACGTGTTAAGGGTCCTTGTCGGCAAAACAAATAGAAAAATTCCCCATAAACAACGCCCGGGTGTTCGTAAGATAAAACCAAAAGGGTGCTTTAAATCTTGCAGACATTCGGGAGTCATTTTGAACTGAAGAAGGTTTTCGTTTATATTAACCACCAGACTGGTTTTCAACACAATGCAAACTTCAGTTTAATTCAGATGTTTCCTGTTTGAGATTAGTTTTTATAAACTGGTTCCATAGTTCAAAACAAGCTTTCTACGCCTTCAATGTTCCAATAAACTATATATAAAAACCCGATTATAATCCCTTTCCTGAGTTATTTACCTAACCAATTTCGATGTGAAAGTCATCGAACCAAAACAATTCCAATAAATAACTGATAGAAAACCAAAATTACCCCATTAAGCTTGTCTCTGACAAATAGTCGCCTGATAGCACCCTTCGGTAGTTAAATATAATTGTCTTCCAATTAAGGAGTCGTTTTCTTGAAGGTTATCTAATATTTAAAAGTTACCAGTCGGGCAATTGTCGATCTAAAAGCCGCTATAAATACCGGAATATCAGAGACACCGGCATGACTTTTGTAATTTAATAGCCCGAAGAAAAACTAAAGTGGTAAATCATTGGCTGGTCAAGACACCTGCTGATTGAACCCAGACATACACCTGCTTAAAAAGTAGACTACAAAGTTTAATCTGTGTGGATCTTTTTTATGCTTTAACTTTTATAACTTACTTAAAGGCAATTAAATACCTCTGCAGGGATTGAAATAATCAAAGCAATTTAATATGGAAGATAATCATTTATATTTTTTTTATGACAAAAACTCCAATAACACCTTTATCCACCTATAAGTTTAATATTTCAGTTTTGATATTGTTGATTAAATAAAGTTCAATAAAAATATGATAGCGCAAGACTTGCTCAATTGATAACCGCTTTTAATATATCGCAATATTAACATTAATGTTCTAAATAGATTTGTTTTTTAATTTATGCAAGTAATACGCACAATAAAAAATAAATGTATTGCCAATATAGACGTGAACAACGATTATTGGAAATCAGAGAAAATTTTCAAGCAGCTCTAAAACGAACAAATTGAGATTTTTTAAATTCTGATATAATTATTTATGTTAAAACGCCTCTAAATCTATTATTATAATTGCCTTGATAGTTGGGTATCTTATACCATTTGAAGTAGTTTCATTCTCTATTAAAGCTCTTCAGTTTTTTGTCAAATTATTAAGCTCACACGATACTGTGGAAGCAAAGTTGTTTGATTTTCAAGGAATCCACTTAAATGCAATTATGTGCCTTATATTCCCCGATCAATTTAAACCTCAATTTATGAGATCCAATCGTTCTGATCAATTATACAGTTTCGACTTTATTCGATACTTTCTAACAATCAGAGGTAAAAAACTAGTCGAATGACATTTAAACGGAACCTTTTTAGATCAGTCTGACCTCGAAGTAGAGCAATTGTGCCATGTAAAACTGAAACTTATTCAAAAAAATTTCTGACTTTAACGCGGTTAAAATAACATGCAATAACAGACACAGTTTTTACCTACCGGAATTTGAATTACGAAAGGATTACATTTTACAATATATTTGTGACTAATTTGGTGCTAACTAGTAAATAAAAGGCTTATATTCTGTAACATATGGAGTATGACAAATTATTGAATTTATTTCAAGGTTCTGCTGTATTTTCCTGGCATTGTAAACTCAATGAACTTACATATAAAACTGCATATTTGTATGGTATTTAAATATTCACCATTACATATAATATAAGAGGATCTGTGCGTCAGCAAATATAATTTAACCCTTTTATTTCCAGAGTGCGTATGAGGAGGTATTGCAAACAATTTAAGCCAATTAATCTGCTTCCCTGTACACAGACTTATTTTGGCCAGAATCCCTTTCATTCTATTTGCAAAGATATTCGGTGTCAAACATATCACCCCATGTTACACGTCAGATTGCAGAAAAGAAATAAAATAAAACACCCCGAAAAGGGTGCATTACCGACATCAAAGCACACTACAACGATAACATGACCTGCCCGAAATGGAGTTTAAAATATTAGCTTCACACTTTATTTTAAATCTTTTCGCAGAGCTCAAAAATTGATGTTATTTTATGCGACAAAATCGTTTAT